CCGCATCAGAGCTCGCATCTATTTTTGGTCTCCAACACCTGGTACCCGTGTCGTCTTGTCTAGGGTTCATGGTGCTTTGGCTTCTGGATTCCTCTTACTTTGCCATTTATCACTTGAGGTTCGGATTTAAGTGTGAATACCTTGCGTGACTCAAAAGTAACAGAAATGTGATTCTTTCGAAAACCTTTCATAATCCAGAGCTTTACTGATTTAGACGGATTCCTTCCCCACCCTGACGCTGAATGAGTAAGTTTTGTTGCGTTTTAGACAGCCAAATCAGATACTGCTAGGGAATGTCTTATTCTGGAGGTCTATTAGATAGAAAGATTGGCTTTTCTGAGGGTTTGTCCTTAAATTTTTATTTGGTTTGCAATTGGATACATTCTGACAGCCCCGTGTGAAAAATAGATCTGAAAGTTTCTTAACCTTAGCTCATCCAGAACATTCCTTCCACTTCCAAGTTAGACTTAAAAAGTTAATTCCTAACTGCTTTCTCCCTGCCTCAATTCTGTAGTGTTGTTCACGAGAATTTTAACAAACCTTAATGTTTTAAAGGAATTTCACACCCCCAGCTAATAAATGGGTAGTTAAAAAGTGCTTACGCACACGGTGGACGGACTTACCATGAAGCCAATGACACATAAGCCCCAGGGTCCCTCCCTGCACAGCCTCTTCCAAGACCTACATAGTCACACCTAATTTCACATTCATAATTGTATTTTTTTTTTCCTTCGACAGGGCCCCTCAAAAGCTTAGGCTCCACGAAATGTGGATCAGCCCCCACTTACATCCCTATGCACTGATGTGTTGAGGACCATCTTCCGACGGACACCGGTCTCTCCGCTCCCCTGGTCCATTTGCATGTCCCAGAGGCACCTCACAGACAGTCCATACAGACTGAGTTCAGTGTTGTCCCTGAGCCCCGCCAGGCTTCTGCCCCCCAAACCTGCTCCTCCTTCTCCTGGTCTTAGGAGGGCACATGTCGCCATTGTGTATGGGGTTAGTTCTCTAAGCTTGAGGGAGATTTGCTCCTTTCCCTTGACCATCTTTTCCAATCCAAGTCTAAGTTGTCTGGTTCCATCCCGACACGCCATCCAGCCCCATAGTTTTCTGTCTGGTTTCATCAACACACTCCCATCGGTCTCCCTCACTCAGCTGCCCCTCCACTTCCATTCTCTGTATTTGGCCAGAGTCCTCCTTCAAAAATCGGTAACTCTTCCTTCCTGTTCGGTTACTTTATTTTTTCATTTTTATTTTTTGAATTTTTAATGTTTATTTCTGAGAGACAGAGCATGAGCATGGGAGGCGCAGAGAGAGGGGGAGACACAGACGCTGAAGCAGACTCCAGGCTCCGAGCTGTCAGCACAGAGCCCGACGCGGGGCTCGAACCCACGAGCCGTGAGATCGTGACCTGAGCCTCGGTCGGATGCCCAACCGACTGACCCGCCCAGGTGCCCCTAAACATGCCCCACTGCCTTTAGCACCAACTCCAAACTCTTTACCAAGAAGGACGAGCCCCTTCCTGACTGTTCTCTGCCTTCTGCTCGGCACCCCCGTCTCAATCCTCTTGTCCTCTCCAGACCACACCAGCGAGTATACTGGCCTCCGCGTGTGATCCCCCTGTGTCTCGCGCATACACCTCTTTGCCCAGGCAACTCCTTCAGGATTCTCCTTCGGTATTATCTCTTTCAGGAAGATTTTATAGATGAGATCCTCCAATATAGGCGATCTTCCTTTGAGCCTGCCAACAACGCTAAATATTTGTAATAGTCTGTTTTCTTGCCCGCCTTCTAAAGAAGCTATGGATTCTTTGTCTCCTGCGTCTTCAGTTCTTTCCTAGAACGGTGTCTGGTGGAGAGCAGATGGTCAAAAAAGAGTTGAATGAGTAAGATGAAACCGTGGGGAAGGGAGTGGTGTGGTATAGCCAGTGGTGTGTATAGCCAGTCGGGCTCACTTATCTGAACACATACCTCTGCCTCTTCACATTGCACAGGCTCCATTCAACTGTAGATGAAACCACACCCTACAAGCCACAGATCAACACCTATTGTGTTCCACACGGTCATCCAAGCTCTAATCCCCCCACACAATGAATTCAGCATTGGCCTTGTTCATAGGTTATCAAATTGAACAGCGGATACTTTTCCACCATCCTCTAGCAATCAGGATTATGCTAGGCACCACACAGAGGTTCCGGAAGAAAGACAATGGGCAGAGGCCGCTCCTGGAAACCAAGACTTTACCACTTAGTTAAGGAGGGGGAACCCCTAGAGTCCTAGCTACGCCAGTAGAGAAGAAAATGGGACTTGAAAATGTGAAAAATCCAGGAGAGAGGAATGCTATCCAGGGCTGGCGTTATGCAGGGCTTCTAAGATGAGGCTTTGCATGGTCTCTCAAGGCATAAGGATGACCGGCTAAATCGGCAATGGTAACTATAATGTAGGAAGAGAAGGAGAAATAAAGAAGTAAGTATCAGTGAGGCAGGAGGGAAGCCAGGAAAGAAAACTGTTTCACAGGTGCTAAAAGAGAATTTCAAAAAGAGTAGGTGTGGAAGAGTCAGTGTGGTTAAAAACAGTTTTTTGTGTGCGTGTGTCCATCTCATCAAGAGACTAAGTCAATGTCTACAGCCCTTGATTCTGGGCTGGCCTTGGGACCTGTAGGATGCTAGAGAGTAACGCAGGTAATGCAGTGTGACTTCCAGAACGTATACCCCACAGGGTCTTATAGCTCCGGCTCCCACCGCCGTGGAATGCTGCCCAGAGTCTGCCGTGTGAGGAAGCCATGTTAGCCTGGAGGCTGAGGCCACGTGAAGGGCAATTGGAGCTCCCCACTGAGTCAGCACCTGCCACCATCCTGTGGCTGAGGCTCCCTTACACTGTCCACTAGGGCGGTCCCTCCTGCTGATGGAGACACATGAGTGCAGCCAGGCTAACCGAGCAGAGGCACCGCCCAAGCAAGCCCAAGAATCCTGGGAAATGGGAAATGGTGTATCTTGAGCCACCACATTTGGGGATGGGGCGTTCCACCTGAACAGACAGCTGATGTGAAACAGGTGACAGGGAAGAATTAGAGGTGAAGACTGAACAACAGATTTGGAAGTCTTTAGCGTCCTGGCCATCTAAGTCCCGGAAAAAGGCCTTGAATCTGAATCAAGTATTCAGATGAATGCATAAAGTTACCAAGGTCTGAGGCTACTAGTTATTGGAATCAGGTATCTGTGACAGTCTTGTTGAGATTCTGTGCTCTCCAAGAAATCCAGTCAGTTGGTTTCAACTAGCATAGGGCCAGG